AAGTATACCAATATATATATATATATATATATATATATATATTTATTATATTGACCTTACCACCTGTGCCTGGCTAACAGTACAGAAGTTACAACGACACAGCTCACGTGCACTCATGTTACAGTATCAAATAATATAAATGTAACCTTTGGTTTGTACAAAGTAACTTGTCTTGGCTGTGTTTTAGTCGACTAGTATTTTTGTAAAATACAGTCACATTTCAATTATACGTACATTATATATGTATATACAATGTTACTATTTTACAAATAACTTTTTAGACTTATTTTTCTTAAAATATAGGACAGTAACTAAAGAAGTAAAACAAACAATTATCTCTTCTAGTTATGAAATTTGTACTCAGTTGCTGCTTGACATAGGGTGCTAAGCCTTTAAAAAATTTGCACGTTCAGGATATGAAAAAAATTTTTTTTTGATGTTTATATATATACTTTTGAATAACTAAAAAAATCATATATTAATACATCAGTACCATAGAATTCTACTATAATATATCAAGCTTAGTAACTAACCTGTATTTGGTTCTAAGAATATATAAAATTTTGAGCAGACTAAAGACACAACCCACTTCCTTGAAATCTTGGTTTCAAAAATGAGATGATGCCCTAAAACTTTAAAATGGCCAACAAAGCCACTAGGGGACATTCTGAGCTTCCGATTGGTTGTTCATGTCATAAATAGAAGTAAGTATATAATGGAGCATTTCCAAAAATGGAAAGAGGTGAGCGGGGTGCTACTGTATCAGTTTGATATGTTATCTGACTACCTATACTGAACATAAACCATTATGCTCAACCCCTGGGAATATCATCTGGCACAGCTTGAACTTGGTCGTTTATCTGGTTATTGATCAATTTAATGACTACTTCCTGTCAGATTTTTATCATGGCAGATAGATTGGTCGCATCTAAGAGGGACTTCTGTATAACACATCACTTTTGTCCTTCTGCTGCTGCTTGTGACTATTCAGTAGAATTGAGGTGAGCATCACTATATCATGCCCTCTTCCTGTGGTTGTCTGTTCAGTTGAGTTGAGGTAAATGCACACTATACCAATCTCTACGGCATGACTTCTGTGCCCTCCTCTGCTGCTGGTGTTGGTACAATAGTCTGATGGTAGAGTTGAGATGAGCACACATGGGACTCGTTTGCTTCTTCTTTCCTTTCTTCTTAGGTGAAGTGTATATCCTGGATGAGATGTGACCTTCTACAGGTGTGCCCCTACATTTGGATGTCACACTTCATGGGCTTCTTTCAAGTGCTTTCTGAAGGGAGCTCATTCAGGCAAATCTTCAACACTTCAGTATGGGATTCTAGCTTAACTGTGTGAGGGGGAGTGTAGTATTGTCTCAGAAGTTAACATTTTCCTTACCTGAAAATGTGTTTCCAATAGATACCTCTGCATACTTATTCCCACTCATTTTCCCCACCTCTGGTGCACCTTTATATTCCTTGCCTCATAAAAGAATGATGTTCTAGAGTACAAATGCATGGAGGTGTCGCCTATTGGTGGAGGGCTTTGACACATGATTGTAACGTAAGATCAGGTAGGAGTTGCCTTCAGGCTAGTGACATGCAAATTTCTAAGACAGATGCACAGGTAAGATAGCTTAACTGTGTGAATATGTATGTTATAAGAAAATACATTTTGAGGTAAGGAAAATGTTAAGTTTTATTCAACAATTTCCTGTAGTATTTTAGGAATGTTTTGAAAAAATTGAGAAACCTACATACAATTCAGAAAAATAAAAGTTTTTTAAATCAAAGAAACTGCAGTGTTGTGTTCATTTGTTCATCAACATCATTCCAGTTACTCATTGGTCACCTAGGCATCATTTAATTTGCAACATTGTGTATCATTGGTGGATTGCATGATGTATGCCATCAACCTGTGTGCATCTTGATCCAATCAGATAACTTCGTACAACAGGGACTGTGCCATAATTAGAGGTAAGTAAAGTTATGCTTGTGTTCATGAATTGCTACCTAGGCACACAATGAGTTGATCTTAACAGATATTTCTGAGGTAAGTTTCCAAATTATTCTTATAATGATTAAAGTGTTAGGATATTGATGGTTATAAGTTAATTGCATTTAACAACAATTTTTTCGTAGAATAACCTCTATTATGATAGGTAGGTTGAAACCACTTCTGTTGTCAATGTTTCTGGAGACACTGTGGGGAAACTCAAA